GGGGGGGGGGGGGGGGGATACTCCTCGGGGGGGGGGGGGCGGGGGGGGGGGGGGGGGGGGGGGGGGGGAGGCGCGGCGGTGGGTGCACGGCAGCTACGGCGTTGTAGCGTGGTTTGTCTCCTGTGCACCTGGCGGTGCGAAGCCGACGGGTACATAGCAGCTACGGCGGTGTAACGGGGTTTGCCTCCTGTGCACCTGGCGGTGCGAAGCCGACGGGTGCATCGACGAGGGCGGCGGCGCGGTCGAGCTCGATGGCGACCCTGGAGCAGCCGCTGACGACTGTCTTCTCGGCGAATTCGGCGACGGGGACGTCGCCCTCGCGGCCGATGAAGCCGTAGTGGGCGCCGCCGCCCGCGCAGGCCCACTTGCGGAGCGGGACGCGTGACACCTCCTGGCGCTCGACGCAGTTCTCCAGCGGGTTGCTGGTGGTGTCGTGGCCGAGGGCCTCCTTTATGATGTGGAAGCCGGCGTCGAGCGCGTGGCCGTGGTTGCGCGTGAAGAAGCTGACGAGCGAGTTGATGAGGACCCAGGCCACGAGCATGAGGGCCAGCGGAACAATGTTGACGATGGGGCGCGAGATCTTGATGTCGAGCGGGCACGACGGGTCGTCCGCGCCCTCGGACTGGTTGCGCGAGAGCTTGACGCGCGGGGCGACGGAGCCGGCGTTCCAGCGGGTCCACACGAGGGCAGACCGCGTGTACCGCTCGATCCTGTCGACGGCGCGGGTGGCGGTGAGGGTGCAGCCGACGGAGAACTGGAATGTGGTGTCATTGACTCTGGCAGGAGGGATGCTGGGGGAGCAATCGGCGGTAGTTGCGCCGGGGGCGGGCTGGACAAACAAGTCGTGGACGAGTTTGGCGTGGGCTTCTCGGTCGAGGGTGTTGTGGAGCGAGGAACGGAAGGTGTCGCCGAACTGGGAGGCGTCCGAGCCACGCCACTCGAGGTAGAAGGTGTACGAGGACATCTCTTGGGGGTTTGCGACCTCGGTGCGGATGGTGGCCTGGGCGGGGTCGGAGAAGATGGTGACGCGGGACTGGCCGGGCGGGACGTCGGTGGGGTTCTGGACGAAGGAGTCGACGCAGTAGCAGTATGCGGCGGTGGAGTCGACCTCGCCGCGGTCTGTTTTGAGCGGGATGTCGACGCAGAAGACGGGGAGGGAAACTTCGCTGCGGTTGGCGCGAGTGGGGTCGAGGGCGAGGGAGTAGTCGTTGTTGACGCAGCCGACCATGCGGCGGACGTCCGGGATGGTGACGGCGACGGAGGCGATGGAGACGACGAAGATGACGAGGCGTGCGAGGAGGGGGAGGACGAGGCGGGAGTAGCGCAGGCGGTTGGGGTAGCGCTGCCAGGAGGGGTCGCGGTAGACGTAGCGGCGCGAGAGCCAGGAGAGGATGCGGAGCGGGTCGTCCGAGTTGGCGAAGATGTAGGCGC